TTTTTGGCGGGCCCCGGCTGGATTTGAACCCGCCACCTTAGGTGTATGTGGCTGGCGCCTTAGCCACTTGAGCCACAGGCACCCAGCCCACATAGACTATTTCATCCCAACTGCTACTTGCCCTTTTTAACTTGACATCACATGTAGGCTACCTGTCCATGCCTATACATGTTTTGAAGGGGAGTAAACTGGCTTAAAGAAGTTTGGTTGCTTCTCCAGTGTTACACAGGAGAGAGCCTTGTATAGTAAATTGCTCCATAGTGTTAGCTGAAACAGAATCTCAGGGGAGAAGCTTTGTTCGCAGAAGACAGGCCATGTTTGCATTTGTGGATTTAAAGATGTTAAATATAATCGACTACCTTCCTAGGCAGTGATTATTTTGGGCTCAGCAAAGCTCCTGCCCTTGGTGTGGTGACCTTCCCTAGGAAAAAAGGCAAGGATAAAAGACCAAGCCTCAGCAAATTCATAAAATTGGGCTGACTGATTGGTACAAATCTCTGGAAAATATTTTCAGTGTTAAAATAAATTGTGGGGCAAAGACCTCTCCTTTCTCTGATTTCCCAAGGGTATCCAGGAGAGGGATCCCGGTGTTGGGGCTGAGGGGAAAAGAGAAAAAGGAGGAGACCTAGAGTTCTAAAAACTTCCATCTTACAGGAGGTGTTCAATTACAAAATGATTTCTGGCCTCCTATCCTGGGGATACTACTCACTGCCATTTGTGTTCACTTGAAGTGAATAGTCAGGGACCCACCTTATCTTCCTCAGGAGAGAATGGTGTGAGGTGTACTGTACAGAGGGACTGGATCCTTCTACCTTCCCCTCCAGGGCTATAGGAACTTTCAAACCTGGAGACTTTGGGGCCTGATCCTATCTGGTTTCTGCTGGAGCCAGAAAGGGATTTAGAATGGCAGAGGGTGGGGCAGGTTCATCCTGTCCTTGAGCTGTCTTTCCACAAAGTACATTTAAGTCTCTCTGTTCTTCAGTTTCCTTGTAATATCAACAGCTATGGAAGTTATAAAACTCTTTCCCCTCTTACAGCTGTGGACACTGAGGCTTAAACAAGCTTGAGTGACTTGTCTGAGGTTATACAGCTAAACCAGCCAAAACACAAACCTAGGTTTCTCATCTTTTTTTTTTTTTTTCTTTTTGAGACAGAGTCTCACTCTGTCACCTTGATGACATGATGGTACCATGGCATCATCATAGCTCACAGCAACCTCAAACTCTTGGACAGCTGCAAAGCCTGGCTAGTTTTTTTTTTTTTTTTCTATTTATAGTAGAGATGGGGTCTCATTCTTGCTCAGGCTGGTCTTGAACTCCTGAGGTCAAGCAATCCACCTGTCTCAGCTTCTCACAGTGCTAGGATTACAGGTGTGAGCCATCACATCCAGCCTTTCTTCCTTTCTGAAGAAGAAACCTCCTTCCTCTGCTTCTTTCACAGGCATGTTACAAGGATCTAATTCATTCATTTATTCATTCACTCACCAAAGATTTACAGTGTCACCATTAAGGTACTATACTGGGTCCTGGAGGCTCAGTAGAAACAAGATAGACAAGGTCCTAGCCCTCATAGGGCTTCCATGCTGGTGAAGGACAAAAATAAATAAGTCGTTATAATAGAGAAATGATGTGATATAGCACAGTGGTTGACTCTCAGCCTTTTGTGTGATCAGAAGCAAGCATAGACATACAGGGAAAGCCAGGCATCAGGCCCCACACTCGTAGGTCTAGGATGGGACTCAAGTTTGTGAATTTTCAACAGTTTCTTGCGTGATTCCAATAACACACCAAGATTAAGAACTACTGCTGGGAGAAACAGAGTTATGATGGCAAGAACAGCTTTCTTGGCTGGGCACAGTTGCTCATGCCTATAATCTCAACACTCTGGGAGGTCAAGGCGGGTAGATGGCTTGAGGTCAGGAGTTTGAGACAAGCCTGAGCAAGAATGAGACCCTGTCTCTACTAAAAATAGAAAAAAAAAAGCCAAGTATTATGGTGAGCCCCTGTAGTCCCAGCTACTCAGGAGGCTGAGGCAAGAAGAATTGCTTAAGCCCACAAGTTTGAGGTTGCTGTGAGCTATGACACCATGGCACTCTACCCAAGGTGACAGAATGAGCTCTGTCTCAAAAGAACAGCTTCCTTTCCTTGGGTACTCACTGCCTATCAGACATCATGCTTAGTTCTTTCCACTGATTCCCACAATCAGTGAAGTAGGTGTCGTGTTTGCTTCAGAGATGAGGAATCTAAGACTCAAACCATAAGTTAGCCAAGGTGATATTCAAACTTCGGCCTTACTGACTGTAGGGCCTGAGCTCTAATGAGCAAAGATGATGGCTGGCCCTCACAAAGCCAGGGGGGAAAAAATCAAAGTGAAAAACTCTCCCAGGAGCCTTAAGAAACACAAGAGTTAACAGTCTGTGGAGTCCTTGTTTAATGTACTTAAACAGCAGATTCCTTCTAGAAGCCACATGGCTGCTTGTAAGAGTCGAGAAATCCATTAGCCAGTTATTAATGACTAGGTCTAAACCATTCCCAGAGACAGAGCCAAGAAATGCTTTTAATCCCCTCTTCTCTGAGGTAAGGGCAGTGGAGCTTCTCTCAGCCACCAGTTCTGTACACAGAATGACGGTGTGGTCCTCCAAAAACCCACAGAGCTTATTTCATCCCTAGACCTGGACTCCCTAGAGATGCCCCAAACCACTCCTGCATAAAATACAAGAAATCCACCTCCCTCCCCTCCACCATGGCACTTCCCCCTAAGAGGCAATTCTGTAGGCAGTAGTATAGCTCCATATGGATCCCCACCCTCCAGATGACAGGTGCCCTCCCCTCACTGGAGCCCCTAGTGATATCTGATCTCACCAATCATCTGATACCGCACCCCGAAACCTCAGCTGTTGAAAAGGTCATTCCCCTATTCCTGGCTTGGCCTGATTCCTGATTGAGCTGTACAACTGTGACTGTCACTACCTTGGCCTCTGGCTTCAAGGAGCCAATCTTGTGTCACACAGCCATCCTGAATGTGTCCTACTCCAGGCACTTGGCCTGACTATAGTCTATGCCAGAGGCAGTTGCTGGTCATCCCTATGCCAGGGCAAAGGAGCAGTGAGTTCTTAGGAGGGGGGCCCGGCTCTTCCTTTCTATCTAAAGACATGCTACCCAAGACACAGACTTTCTGCTTCCCCCAGGAGCTAAGACGCCCTCTCTTTCTTTGCCTAAAGAAGGAAAACTGATTTGCTTAAATTTATCCATTCATTCAATGTTCATCTATATCTCATACCTGCTGAGCATGAGTCCCCCTGCTAGCTCAATGGAGAACATTAGATGAATTATCACTATTCTACAGTCCCAGAAAGAAGCTGATCTTCCTGGCCCTGGGAAGCAGAGGGGTTTAGGGGCATCATAGGACTGGAAGCAGAGCCTCGTCCATTCTCATTCCATTTCCTAGTTGTATTCCTTTGACCAAATCATTCCCTTCTCTCAGCCTCCATTTTCTCTTTTGTAAAGCCCACTACTCAGGGTTCTGATAATTAAAAGGGATACAACTTTTTAAAACATTAAAAATTTTAAAACAATGGAAATTGCTATTTTCAAAGAAAACTACAAAGATTTTTTTAATCATTCATGAATGCAGTCTGTCTTGCACAGAGTAGGTGCTCAGAAACTCTGAATGAGATCCTGTGGTTTCGTCTCATGCCAAGGAAGAAGTCTGTAAAACTCATAAATTATTTTCATGATACACAGAAGTGTGTGCTTTCTCTGTGTACTCTTAATTGTATGGGGACATGATGATGTAGCAGAGCCATTTTTGAAGTGGACATTAGGAAGCCCAAGTTCTAGCATAGCTTTCTGGTCCTCAGTTTCCTCTCCTATAAAAAGAGTAGGATTGCCTCCAGCTCAATGTTCAGAACATTGCCTCACTACTGATTTCCCAACGGCACAGAAAATTGCTTTGTTCCCTGTGTTCCACTGGGCAAGTGGGCCTCTCTGTTCTCTTCCCCCCTTAAAGGGAAAAGACTCTGGCTCTTACCTTATCTTCCTCACCCCTCTCTTTTCTCCCTTAGGGTTGGGCACCCCGCTGCCCTCGCTGCTGCCCATTGTGCGACTGTGCCTGTGCATGCCAACTTCCTGACTGTCAGAGCCTCAACTGTCTGTGCTTTGAGATCAAGCTCCGATGAAGACCCAGGGCCCCTGCCCTTTAGGGAGTGGACAGCCCCCAGGGCTCATGCACCCTCCTCCCTAAAGGGCCTCAGGATACCTTGCTCCAGGCCATTGGAACCACAAATGGCCTGCCCAGCTCACAGGCCTGGAAACTGGAACTGGCAGTGGAGAGCCTGGCTCCTTGCTAGGCTGGACTCTTGGCCAGCTGGGCCTCAGCTCCTTGGGATGAGAGCTGGTGTTCCAGCAGGTGTCCTGCCTCCTCTGCCCTTCTTCAAGTAAACTATTCTACTTGAAGGGGAGGGGAGGCACTGCTTACCACAGACAGCATTATCCGAGGAGCTAGGGCCTTAAATATCGGGATATAATGGGGTACCTTAACTACACCCCTGTCCATGGACTCTTGGTTATTTTAGGAGGTGAGTGCTGTGCCTGTATCTGCTCTCCCTCTGAAACAAATGGGCTCCAAATGGTGCAACACCATCAAGTCCCAGAATCAGGGGAGGAGGATTAGCCATGGGGGAAGGAGGAAGCGAGGGCCGTGATCTGAGCCCCCTTACTCCTTTCCCTCCCACAGATCCCTGGCCTAAGATTTATTTCTCTTGACAACCAAAGGCCTCGGTCTGGATTTCCAAAGAAGAAATTTCCTCTGAAGTGCCGGTGAGTGGTTGGGGGCCCTTCTTCCCCAGCAATGGGACGGATCCAACGCTTCCTCCTCCTCCCCCCAAGCCGGGGCCCCGTACTGGCATGAATGTCAGGGGCTTCAGGTTTCCCTAAATATAGGTCCTTGCCAGGGGATCTGTGGCGGGGAAAGGGCAGGGGTCACCGGAGAAGGTTGGGGACACTGGTGTGGGGGAGGGCAGGAGCCTTATAACCCAGCCCGCGTACGCTTGGCTCACTCGCTGCTGACCAGGCTCTGCCGGCTCCTTCAGCCTCGCCGCAGGTGGGCCGCTAGCGGGACCCAGCAAGCATAGGAAAGTGGGAGGGAAAGTTGATTGGACGAAGGGGTCCGATGAAACGGGAGGTGGGCTGGGGGGGTCTGAAAGTATCTAGGAGGTGGATCAGCTCGGGGGCGGATTTTATTTAGGGTAAGGAAGTCACGTCAGGTCAAGGAAGACGTTTCACAGGGACCATGGCCCCCCCACCCCTGAGACTTGTTTGGGCCGAGCCTAGCAGGTCAATTTCCGTGAAGTCTGGTTTTCGGTGCCTGCGGGTGACAACCCGCCTGGCTGCCACGGCCCCGGGCAGAGATCGCATGCATGGGCGGTCTAGGCTGGTTTCCTGGGTCCGGGAGCCCCGGACTCGGATGCGGGGAGGCCTCACTTCCGCACCCCGCCAGCCACAGCAGCTCCCTGTGCGTCCACTCGCCGCCCTTTCCTCCGCCTCTTTTACGCCGGGGTAGGGAGAGGGAGGGATCGGCTCCGCGCCCTTGCGCAGCCCAGCCACCGGGCGAAGCAGGCCTACACACCCGACTTCTTGATTCGGTTACAAAGTGACACACGCTGCAGGCACACATGCCGGAAGCTGAGACGGCCCCTGGCTGCGCCTGGGCTAGGGAAGCCAAGCCTTCATCTTGTCTGACTCTTCCACAGGCTTTCCCTGCCCTCACCCCCACCCCAATACTCCTCCGGTGCCAACATTCAGGCTGAGTCACGGCGCCCCCGAGCGCGCCAGGCGGGGGGGAAAAACGAGGAGGAGGAGGGAGTTCTAGCGATCCGCAGGATGTGGCCCGAGTCACGTCCGAGGGAAGCGGGAGGAGGGGTTATATTCTCGCAGCCTCTGGCTTCGCCTCTCAGAGGCGGCCTCTCGCGTAGTTCTTCCTAAGCGATTGGACGCCCTGTGCTCGGTGCAAAGGAAAATTCCCGGCCGGGGCGGGGTGGGGTGGTGCCTTTAAAAGGCCGGGTGCCTCCTACCG